TTTTTTTCCTGTAATTGAGATCTAATCTTACTGCACTGTGGTCAGAAAAGATGACTAGAATGATTTCAATTTTTTTGAATTTACCAAGACTAGATTTATGGCCCAGGATGTGATCTATTCTAGAGAAGGTTCCGTGTGCACTTGAGAAAAAGGTGAAGTTGATTGTTTTGGGGTGAAACGTCCTATAGATGTCCATTAGTTCTAGCTAGTCCATTGTGTCATTTAAAGTTTGTGTTTCCTTGTTAATTTTTCTGTTTAGTCGATCTATCCATAGTTGTGAGTGGGGTATTAAAGTCTCCCACTATTATTGTGTTACTATTAATTTCCTCTTTCATTTACGTGATTTTTAAAAATCACATAATTTTTTAATGTTATACTGGTCTGAGATCAGTATGTGTTTTTTATGTAAAATTTGAGACAAACTCAAAGAGATCACAGTCATGTTTTTTATTAGAAGGGAAAAGTTCTAGACACTATATGAGGAAAAGAGTTTATCTTCTTTGCCAGTTGTTACTTCTTAAGCATACAAATTTTTAAGCCACAACATGAACAAAAGGACTCATGTAATCATGTCACTAGGTATTGAACATTCAGTTGTTCATTTGCTCACTTCACATGTTTCACTAGTGCCTACCAGAGCCACCAATGAAAGGGGAAGTGGCTCACAGGCAAGTGAGGACACAAACAATCACCACGCAGGTTCTGAGGGCTGCAGTGGAAGACAGTACTGAAGAAACTAATGAACTCCTGCTATTAGTATGCTCTAGTCATTGTGGGAGATGCACCTCATAAAATTAACTCACTTATCCCTTATAGAAACTCCCTGAAAAAACATTATTAATCCCAAAGAAACTAACATTCAGAGGGCTGAAGTGATTTTCCTAAAGTCAGAAAACCAATATGCAATGGAGCCATGAATCCAAATCAGGCCTGTCTCACATTACAATTGTACTCTGTCCACTAAACTAGAGTCTCCCTCAGCTTTGTAAGGTGCCATGGGTGCCAAGACTTTAACCCTATCTGGGAAGACAGCAACTTTCACTAAGAAAGGACAGCTGGAGTCAAGTCTTACAGGATAAGCATTGGTACTATAGGCAGATACAGTTGGGAAAGGCTTTCCAGAGACAACGGAAACAGCATGTGAAAGACACAGAGGCTTTTCAGAAACGTCAAGATTAGGAACTCCAAGTTTAGCAAAAGAAAGCCATTGTAGACACTAGAGGCAGGCTGCCTGGATTCAAATCCCAGCCGCTGTACTTCTTAGGTGTATAAATCAGTTAAGAGAAGACTTTAACTTCTCTTTCCTTACCTTTAAAGTATGGATAATAATAGGACCTACCTAATAAATTTCTTGAGGATTAACTGACATAATATAAGTAAATTATTTTACATAGTGCCTGGGACCCAGGGAGGGCTCCATGAATATTACACATTATTATTTGGAAATATTAATAGCTGGGATATAATGTACAAGGGAAACAGTGACAGGATACAAGTCTGGGTTGAAAAGTCAGGGCTTGATCATAAAATGCCTCTTATTTTACGTAACTAGGAACATCACTGAGGGATTTCAAGTGTGTGTTTATGTGTGTATGTTTTTTATAAAATTAGTTTCAGTTCATTTAAAAATATCTTTGTGACATCAGTGCAAAAACAGATCAGAAGTGAGATTTGAGTCAAGGAGACTGACTCTGATTACTGCAATAATCAAGGGAAGGTGCCATGAGGATTTGAACTTGAACTTAAGTAAGTAGTGATAAGAAATACTCAGGAATTAGTATCTATAAGGACCTGCTAAACAGTTAAGATGGCAGAGCTACACTAGAGGAGTTGGAGGTGCCAACTGCAGAGATAAGGAATGTCGGAGGAGAAGTATTCTTTGAAAAAGATGCTTATATAGTAAAGTCAAGTCTTACTAAAACAGTAAAAGAAATTAACTCATTCAGGCACAAAATGCAGGAACTATTCTGCTTGAAAGAGTGACCCAGAAACCCTTGCTTGAAGTTTAAAGTTAAAAATAAGGAAATTTATTGTTACTAACAAAGTCATTCATAGGAAAAAAAACCACAACATTTTATAGGATAAAACTAATAACTAGTTTAATGTCATTCACGTTCAACTTTTATATACTATCCCCCAACACACACAAACACAATACTTTCAGGTTAGGTATAATTTCACAAAAAGAGAGAACACACAAAAAGGTTAGATTACATTTATGATTTTACTAGTAATGAAGGCAAAATTGGTTGGACACATCAAGCAGAAGCAGATGCTGCTTTCCCATCACAGACTTCTTTGGTTCCCAAAGTCCTCAAGTGGGCACGTAAATGCAGGTGACACAGTCAGAACAAGATAGTGCCAATGTATTTACTCTGGGCTTACCTGTATAAGAAGAACTTGTACCAACATTTTATATACTTCTATTTACAGGAACATATAAAAGCTTAGCTGTCCCAAGATTTGTTACCCTGACTCAGGATTAACAAAGCAATTCTCTTGGAGAAAGCCCATTTTGCCATAATTCTAAGTTATTTTCAGTGTTGAATAAGCACTAACTACCTGCAATCAAGTGGGCTGTAATACAGTTAGGGAATTTGATTGCATGCATTTATTTCTAAAACAAATCCTTTAATTTTGACACATTAAATCAAAATGCTAGTTGACATGAACAAAGACAAGTTTTTGGTGGGTATTAATATGTTTTGATATCTGGAACATTTACTGATTTCTCAATGTCCTGTGTACTAACTTTTTTTTGAACTACTAATTATCCTCTGGAAAAAAAATTTCCAAAGATAAAATAGTCAGAAAAAACAGAATATAAAATATTTATTTGAAAATTATTCATCAAGATGTTAACATAGATGAAATTTAATACTTCCTTCTAGATGTGAACATTTATCCAGTTCATAATTTCAATGAAAGGGCACATCTAAAGAAACTGTTTCATTCTTCAGCCACTAGGACTACACAAAGCAGTTTCAGCACCAGGGATAGAAATCTTCCCTGATAATACTGAATGCCATAATACAGACGAGTAAATGCTAGGTTTACATGATTAAGTATAAGCGCAGGCACAAGGGAAGCATTCTATAAATGTTTTGTTGTTGTTGTTCTTGCTATTATTCTTGCTATATGTGAAGCTGATGCAGTAAAAATAGTTATATTTCTCCTCAGTCACAGAAACCCATAGTATGTGGAAAATTGATGACCCTAATTAAATATTTCTTGTTTTATATGCATTAATTTAAAATCTAGCACAACAATGAACCACCATTTCTCAAAATTAGCAAAATACAAGAAAGAAAAACAATAAAATCATGAATTAAAGTTCTTTAATCAAATTAAACTTCACTGTAAAAGTTAAAAAGAAAAAACTACAAAATTTTAAAGAAAAATTATCTTTGCAAACATAGTCATAGGATTCTTGTACATTATCATTTTTCGTAGAAATTTTAACCACTATATTTTTATTATATGCTTTGAAGAATAAAAAAATTAGTGAACTGCTGATGACCAACTGTAATATATTATTTCATATTATGTGCATTTCCAAATAAGCTGAAAAACAGACATTAAAATCTCTAGGAAGTCAAAATATATTTAGTAATTTATAGAAGTAACCAAAAAGTGTTAATGTCTACTCCAAGAATGACTGCAAATTCATGCATTAAAATTTTCTTATATTTCAATTTTTAAAATACAATTCTCCTGAAAATGTTAGCTAATTTGGAAAAAAAGCCATTCGTATGTGAATAGACATATTTGAATTAATAATCTTAATTAGAAACTAGGTAACCTGGGTTCTGCACAATTTTGGATATGGCCATTTGTTTATATACAAAAAACAAATATAAAAATATTTTGATGTCACCAATGTCCAATGTATTTTCAGAGGGTGGATCAATTTCTGTGTTACATATATGGTTATTAGACCAACTTACATTTTAACAGGCATCTAAGTGTGATGCTGGACCCTGATTACCTAGGTTTTTTTGTTCACTAGTGTTTCCTGACTCAACTGTTTGCCCAACTCTGGATTGCTTTCTGCCTCTATTCTTGAGGATTCATGGTTGCCTCAACTTTCCTTTTCAAGTGCGCCCCCACTGTGGCTTTTGATTCCTGACCATTTAATTCTGACTATTTACCAGCTCTTGGCGCTGAACTTGTTTCTCCTCAAACAAAACCAGTTTCCTGCTGAATACACACTCTTGACTCACTACTGCCTGTATTCCCAGAACTGAGAGAGTAGTCCTCATTTCGGATGTCTGTCAGAATTCATGCTATTGTTTTCACTGTAATACTCTGTACTTTTCAAAGCAGGATCACAATTTATCTCATTTGTGAGACTACAATAATCTCATTACATAACAAGCATTGTTCAATCCCATTTCATTGGTAAGAAAACTGAGACTCAAAGAGGTTGAAGAGTTTACCTAACAGTGACAATTCAATAACTTGAATGCTAGTTTTAAGGAACTTAACTTCCTCAAAATTCATGTTTTAAATAATTTAAGAATACTTGAGAGGAATTATTTTACTCAGATTTTAAAAGTCTGCTCTTATTTCTTCAATAGTTGAGCCAATTAAATCTTGAATATATTCACATTGTTGAATATACTGAATTATTAAAATATGTTTTTAATTTCTTTCCTCCTCCTTTTATTTATCCAAACATTTATTAAGTACTTACCATGTATCAGTCAATGATCACAGTACATTGCTGAAGGTTTTATAAGAATGATATAGTTCTTGTCTTCAAGTAGCTACTGATCTAGTGAGAAAAAAAAAGCCATTCATATCTGCACCACCACACTTTTTTGCATAAAAGTAATTACAGTGTAAAAGCACACTTTCTGAAATCATATTATTTATATAAATTTTACTAATTTATTGTCAGTGTCCATTGTAGAATATGAATAACATAAAGATAGGCACTTTGTCTTACTCATTGCTCTGTTTTCTGTGGCTTTGAACTATCTACACCTTGCAGAACATACTCAACAGTTACATGTAGTAAGGAAGATTGTTTATTTTCTTCTAGGCTTTAAAAAAAATATACTGTGTGTTTAGTGAATGAAGACGATCTATTAGATACATAGATTCTATGTATTTCTCCCAAAGTTCTGGCTAATTTAAACTTTTTAAGAAAAGTTTTCTACCTTATCAAACAGACATCTATGTCTGTTATCCATCAGATATACCATCTATTAAGTATAGAATTTCTTTCATTTATTTAACAATAAACATGCTCTGTTAGATAATGTCTCTCTAAAGTTGTCTTGCTTCATAGTCTCATTATCTGAGACTTTTTAGTATGCTTTCTGATGTATCTAATGAATATTAGAGAGTTGCTACTTGTTTATGTAATAATATTGGAGGAATAAGTTCTTATTAATTTATTAGTCTACATGAAATTTCATTTTCAGTTAATGCTTATTGAATAGTACATGGTCACAAAGCTCAAAGGATTGATGTTTCAATTATACTATTTCATGTTTATAGTTGCTAAGTTCTAAGTTTCACTGCATCTCTTCTCTTGATCTAAACTGTGTTGTATATGACTATATTTCCTTTGGCATTTTCCTTATTTAAAAATCAAAGAGATTATGTTTTACAGTTCTAGAGTGCTGATTTGCTATCTCTCTGATTTGCTTTCAAAACAATTAACAGTGTTGTTTACATGTGAAAAGTTAATATATGTTTTATAGTGATTCAATATAAGACATTTTCAGTTTAGACATTAGTAAAGGTATCAAGGCAATGAAAAAGACATTATGAATTCTATAAACATTCCAGGTTAGGACAATCCAAAGAACTAGAAAATAGGAAAAGAAAGAAGAGATACAAAAACATTCAATGTCAACTCACATTTTAATAACTGGAAGCTATGTGGGTAACCTTAGGAATTGCTGAGAAGTTTATGGCATATGAATGATGTCATTAGTGTTGTGGGTTCCTGCCAATCAATGCCAAAATTAAACACACATAACTAAGATGTAATTTGAAAAAATTAATTACATGAAATCCCATTGTCTCTTCAAAGAAGAAAGTCAGGGAAAATATCTTTGTGTTGGTATGAATTCAAAATACTAAACTTTATTTACAAAGAAAGCAATAACCAAACATTTAGTGAAAATGAAAAGTAGAGAATCAGATACTGAAACAACAGGACAAAATTTGGGTTTAAACTCTCAGATATATTTTGGTAGACATTTTACTTGTGTGGGTTAATAAATCATGAAGGATCATCTTATTATTACTTGCTTATTCTTTTGGCTTTTTTATCTTTGCAAAGTCTCAGAGAAAAATTCCCAGTTCATAATATGCCTTCTATCCCCATGGCTAGTGAAAAAACAAAGAAAAGATATATTGCTAATTAGGTTTTAAGTACTTAAAAGAGATACAACATTTAAGTATGAAAGGGGAATTGTCAAAATTCTTATAAATACAGAATGTGTATAGCTATTTATTTAATAAAACTAAAAAAGAAAATGCTGTTCTATTTGCTCTCTGAACGGAAAATCAGGTCAATGAATAAAGATAAAATAAGTGGATATCAGTGTACTCCATTACATAATCTGAAAATTCAAAATTCTGCTGTCTTTTTGTGTTAATGTATAGTCGCAATCTCTACCATCTATTGAGTACCTATTATAGGCATTGTTCTAAATGCTATATATCTTTAATCTATTTAAAGAAAACTCCATATGTGAGGTAGTTATACTTTACAGGTGTAGAATGAGGTTCAAGGTCAATTTGTTTGCATATGAACCCAATCTATCTGATTTCAAAACCCTTCTTTTAGCCACTCCACCCTACTTCAAAGGACTATTTGGGATTAGGATGTGAATGGTAAAACAAAAAAGACTGAAATGTTTATAAAATAAGATGTATTATTTTATATGGTAACCATGTGAGTTTTCTGTTATGCATATGACAGAAAACACCATGGTGTTAATTATGGTGGCGAATCATGTAGCCATCATCTTTCTTCATTGAATGCAAAGAGCCCTGAAACATGCTGCTATGTCTTTTTGCCACTGCAAAAGAAATCACGTTGAGTTTGTTTTAACAGAAACAAAGAAACCCATGACAAAGCTATGGCCAACATAGAACATTCCATCTACTTCTCACAGACTTAGATTAGCCAAACAGAAATAAAGTTTGATGTACACCTTTATGTTGCTTTAACGGATACCCAAACATACTGAATGTGATGAAGCATCTTAACCCTTAAGATATCTGTTAACCTTAAGATTATCTGTGCTATTTAAGATTCATTTTCACATTAACAACAAAGAGGCTGTATATAACAAATTCCCCAAAATGTGTAAGATTCAACTCCCAGGCAAAAACTACAGTCCTGGTAATCTGTTCCACTTTTCCTCTCCATTTCTTTTCTCATCCTGATTCTTGTGTCTGTTAAGAGAGATACACTATAGCTACAGAATATCGAAACATAAACCTCAGACTGTCTCCATGTACTATCTGTTAACAATTAATGAGGTGGTTATTTCAAGGCATTCTTCCACTGGTTAATCTGTGGCTGCTGGCACCATTAGAGGAAGGTTCTAATCCAAAGTTTAATGCACCAGGATCAGGCTCAGACTGAATCTATGCACTGCTTCTCAACTGGGCTAAAGTTGGTAAAGATCCCTCTCTTACTGTGCAGAGATCCTATTAATGAGATAACTATTCTAAAGAACTCTTGGACACTTCCTCATAGCATGCTTTCCCTCTTTCTATGCAGAGTATGTGCTTTTTCTAAAAAAAATTGATTATATAGACATACAATGACAATACTTTCAATAGGGACTAGGAGATTAATGGTTAGTTAGACATACAACAAAATCTTCGCCTGAAAGGCATAATGAGTGATATATTAACGGAAACATGCAATTAAATTTTGGTTAACCTTAATGAACATAATTAAAAACAATTTATTTATTCCAAGTAATTTCTGTCTAGAATTAAAGTGATTCCCAGGAAACAAAAGGGCTAAAAGAGTTTTCTGAATCTTTATAGGCACAAAGACAATAAAATCAGATTGACTCAAAGATCATCTCTTGGGACGAGCATGGTGGTCCAGTGGTTAAGAATCTGCCTTCCACAGGATATAAAATTAACACACAGAAATCCCTTGCATTCCTATACACTAACAATGAGAAAACAGAAAGAGAAATTAAGGAAACAATACCATTCACCATTGCAACAAAAAGAATAAAATACTTAGGAGTATATCTACCTAAAGAAACAAAAGACCTATACATAGAAAACTATAAAACACTGATGAAAGAAAT